ACTCTTCACTAATTCATGTATCAGCTACTTCAACGCTACCCTTTTGGTATAGACAAAGGCTACAGTGGCCACCCAAAAGCTACTCAAAATGCAACTGCAGAAATGCAGAACTCATGCCTTCAATCATATCATCACCTTCTTTTCTCCTTCTCTTCCCTCACTCTATCACAGTTAACTTAAAATCAGTCCAAGAGCTTTTAAATAGCAATGAACTGTTAGCCTCCAGCCCGGTAATGATGCCAGCTTTTAGGACTTATTTATCAAATGTTCTCGGAAATATGCTGCCTTTTCCCCAAGCTGCAACTCTGTATGCAAGGAACTCCCGGCACAAATCTGTGGTCACCTAATGGTCATATTTCAAATTTTTCCTTAAAACTTCACTTACGGTATGACGTTAATTTGCCGGTTGTTAGACCAGTAGTTTATTATCACATCAAATAAACAATATTTGTCACATTCTTCTTTTCGGTTTGTATCATACATGTGTATTGTACAATAACTGGATGACATTCTTTTTGGGAGTGTTTGACTAATGCTCAGTACAGTGTGTTCTACCACAATGTAAATAGATCAAAATGGCCGCAGATCTGGACTCTCACCCTATTTTTCGTTCATTGTCTTAGATAACATATACATGACATACAACAGACGCAGATTTACAGGCCAGATGGAAGAAAAACTGGCAAAAGAGAAGAAAAGCTGAGAAAGGATATGGCTGCCCTCAAACTGAGAGGAGACTGCTCAGCATTCTTCCCTTTGAAAGCAAAAAAAAGAGAGGTGGTGCCACAGATTTCCATACTGCTCAGCGATACTTAGTTTAACTACCGCTTCAAAGTAAGAAGGCCTGACTCCAAAACTATTGTGAAATATTCATGGCATGAATGATATCATACTACAATGGTAATATAATGCATTAATCAAATGTCTATCTAAACAGCATCAACAAAAATTATGAATGAATTAATTGTACTGTTTAAAGGCTCCAGGCAAGATTTTAACCATCTGTGGGATACTTTAGGAGGTCACACTGAAACCACAGTGTAACCGCATACAAGCCACACACATTATCAAAACCAATACTTTTAATTACTTTCCCATCGAAAGCACATTAATATACGCATCGTATGCAGACCTGTAAGTATAACCATTAGTACCAACCTCATTTTTGGTCACACATGCATGCAGTTTAATGCCCGCATTTTAAAACAGATTCTAGCTGCTGTGGTAAAGCTTAATTGCTTGGTTTTCTCTTTTTCTCCTCTGATTTCTGTTTCTTAGCGATAAAATTTTTATCTATGTTCAATCTGAAAGAGATGGCTTAATCCAGTACAATGACTATTGTAGCAATCTTATCTTTGCAGTGTAAGCAGTGGGAGAAATTAACAGAAATGTTTCATTTCATATGTAACTATTTCATAACTAAAGGGTAAGCCCCTCAGCACGTAATGATAATCCTTGTGACACATACAATCGCAGTTTGTAATAAAAATACTGATTGCAAACTATGGTATTTTTCCTATATATATACTTTTTCCTTATATTCAGGCTTTGCTAGGATAATCTTTAAAATTACACTTAACAGATTTTGAATATATATTTTAATAGACATACAGATAACTATTCATATATATTTAATACATATACATTTTTATTAATATACCCTTAAATTGATTCTGAAATCATAGGCATAGCCACTCAAAAAAGGTAACAGTCCCCTAAAAAGGAAATGGGACTGGAATTATATGCAGTATACCATGGGATATATGCCTCGCTACCAGAAAAATCTATCTTTGTTTTAGTCTTCAGTTCACTTAGCATCTCAAAATTTTATGAACAGAAGAAAGTAAAAAAACCAGTTGATGCACCTGGACACACAGATGTACAAATTAAAAAGGTACCAATAACAAAAATATATCTTTAGGCAGAACAAAACCTCACATGTCTCCAACATGTGGTGAGTATTGCGGTGCATTTACATGAAACTATTTGGGAGTGATGAAGAGGTGATCTTCAAAGTAAATGTTATGGTAGTGTGGTTACATTCTGATATGGAAGGAAATACTAGGAAAACTATCTGAAGGAAAACTATCATCATATTTCTATCAGGAATATGATTTCGGAAATTTTCTTCATTTTATCTCTACAGTCATTTATTGTATCTATCTAGGTTTGTTATCTGTCTGCAACTCTGTCTTGCATTCCTAAACGATGTGCAGATTTTGTCCAGGAAAGAGACAACGATTCAACTATATTTTGCAGGCAGCTAATTTATTTTCACGGTAGGTTAAGCATAGGGCAGCCCAATTAAAGTGTTTCTTTTACTTTAAGAAAAGCTCTCATAGAAATCTAATTAGATTTCTACAGTTTTGTTACATTTAAAAGCCAAGTAGTTTTTAGACAAAACAAGCTCTTGCAGCTGAGGCTGTCATTTAGTTAAAGGTGGTACTAGCCTCTTTCTTCCTGAAATGCAGAGATTTTTAACTTGTCTGTTATACAATCCAAAGCAGTTAGTTTTTAGAGCTAGTTAGTTTTTAGATCTCTTAGATCTTTAGAATCTTAGATCTTTTTGGGCTAGTCTTGCCACTACTAATTTTAAGCTAACATTTTAAATGATAGATTTGGCTTGGCACCTCAGTGGTAATTCTGCGTATTATAATTACATATCGAAATTTCTGAGCCATATTTGATGAGAGACAAAATATAATCCAGTATTAACATTTTCATGTAAATCTAAACAATGAAATCCCTATTTAGGTATGTACATGACTAGCCTAATTCAGAGATATCTTATGCTACGTTCCTGCAGCTCCTCCGGAGCTTTGAAGGGTAGGCCGATTTGTAGGCCAAGTTTGAAAATGTTGGCCCACGCCGCCAATTCTTCCTCTTTAAAATTCCCTTCAAAACAAAACAAATGGCTGATGATAAACATAACTTTTCTTAATTGCAATCTCTAAAAATGCAAAACAAATAGCGCATCCAATTAATTAGCTCTACGCAGCTATGGAAGACAGCTGTCCATTCCTGTCATACTAAGGTTTTTAGCTACCAATGAGCACAATGACTCTTAGCTTGCTTTCAAACCTTCCTGGACAGCAGTCAGTCAACTAATAGTCTCACACTTTGTAAAACAGAACCGTTAAAGGGTCATGACTTTGTAAGACATTTTCAGATGATGAAAATAGTTTTTCCATCATTTTAATTTAGTTGTTTCATGAGGTTCTTCTTTTCAGCAGCACGTTTCAGACATGTTAGGATGATGAAAACAGTTCTTCTGTCATTTTAATTTAGTTATGACACAAGGCTCCTCATTTCAGCAGCTCACTGTCTTGATGAATCACTCAGATTTTGAATGTAAAGGACAATGAATTGTCCTTTCAAGATTAATGAAACTGTGAAAATAATTTGAAGTGAACTCTGAAAAGCAGTCTAGATAATCCTGAAAATGTTAGCACTCTGAAGAAACATAGTAACTGGTGTTCTGCATTCTACTGGTATTGCTTTACATTCATGAGCAAGATTAAGTATATTTAAAGGAACTGCTCAAATATTGGCACTGTATTTTTATATTCCAGTTATAGATTTATTAAACCATGAGAAAATCTCACCTCATCCTTCTGTAGAGCAAAGCACAGAAAACGGCAGTTTACTTACAAAAAGATTTATTGAATGTTGTATCAAGAAACTTTGAGAAGTTTTGTTAAGAGTCTCAATGCAGCGTTAAAACTTTTACACGGCAGTTAAAATGACTTCCTTTGAAGGGATCATTGTATGTCATCAGCAAGAAAGTAATTGCATAAATTAAAAAAGAATAGATGTATGGTCTAGATTTTCTCTTGAATATTAATTTGTAGTCCTCATAACTGCTTATGGAATGGAAATGGTAAATTATGAATCAGCAAAAAATATATGCCTGATCTGATCTTTGCGCGTGATTATATCAATACCATCAATGACTATTTATTTTACAGTTTTTAATTCATAATATGTTGAACAAGGCAGAAGGAAAATGAAAGATTCTCTGTAAATGTTCACAGCTGTCAGCTTCTAAAATCAACTTAATCATAAAATACATGATGCAAAAAGCTGTGGCTTATAAGTGTTTAAAACCTATAATATCTTTAAAACAATGTTCATAGAGTTGACAATTTCAAAATTTATACTTTCGATATCTTGTCCTTTAAAAGTGTGCTTTTACACCAATCTAAAATTCCTATTGATTTAGAGCAAAAAGGAGATACCTGGATTTATATTTCACACTGAAAGTGACTAATCCTTTTTTTTTCTAAAGCATGACTGCATTACCACCCATTTTGTCTTTTCAAATGGAGTGAGATACGATAAGCATGCTGTGCTTGTAATGGAATTGTTTTCTATTTGTAAAAGATTTTTAGCTTCTTTAAAAAATCAAGCAAATAATTGCAGGTTTTATATTTTATTTTTTTACTCAAACTAATAAAATCAGGGGACTGCGGCGAGATCTAGCGGCATGTAGTTTGATGTCCTCAGCAGGATACCAAAAGTCAGAAGTAGTGCTGTAAATTCAGTGTGGGGCTTCGACACTGTGCTAAGTGTGGCCTGAATCTCTGGGGCTTCCCTTTGATGCAAGTGCAGTATATTAACTGGAAAAGCATTCACTTTTATTTGTCTGTACTGTCTGCGACAGCAATATCGCCTCATTTAGGCTAGTTCAACATGAAAATGCACAGAGAAGCAATCTGTTACAAATTAGCACAGCTCTCCTTTCATTTTACTAGCTAGTAATTGGAAGGGGTTACAAAAGTGTAATTTATCAGATTATATGTGTTTATCTTTTTGTGGGGACAGCATGCCTTTGGTGAATTTTCCTACGCACCCTGAGGGAATAATCTTTCCTTGATGTCCATTAGATCTGAAAGAAAACAATGACTCCTGTGAAATATAGGAGTATAATTTGTTGGGTTTGAGAAGGAACAGTTTCCCAGACATCTAAAATGGTATTAATGACTTTATTAGAACCTTACCTTTCCTTGGAAATGCTTTTGCTCTCTCGTTTCCAAATGGTCTTGAAGTCACTGCAGAACTCATACCACACCATGAAAACATAGTTTGGAGTGATCTCCTTCTCACCAGGCTTTGGCTTTATCCCAAAGTATCCCACTGTTTCTTCAAAGCTACAGGGGGGGAAAAAAAACTGTCAACACATAAGCCCACTGGGGAAACAGTTCCCCCGCGGGCTGGTTCCTTACTCAGTAGTCAAGACTGGTAATTACCATAACTTCCCCTTAGCCTTGAAAATCATAGCAGCAATTCACGCTGAGTGTAACTAACCTTCCAACACCTCGCTCATTCCCAGGCGGGTAACTGTTGGTTATGGATGCATAAGATATCATAGGCATACGTCACATAGGCAAATTACAGGCATTTAATTTTAATGAAAAAAACTTAATTTCTTGCATTTCAAGAAACGCTGTACTATATATGTTTCTTTAATTTTATTCGGCAGCACTCTGTAAAGATCTTATTTTGCCACTTATCTTTACTGAAGGGCTACAGAAGAGTCATACGTTAAGTTAGGAAAAAAACACCAGGCTTGGTTAAAGACACCTCTGAAGTAGTTAGAAAGAATTCTGTGTGACAGATTAAAAACCACAGAGAGTGCCTATAGCCAGTTTGTGAAGTTTTTACTGAAAATAAATCATCTCCTCCTAGGTGTGTCAATAAGCAGATAATAGCAACTAATCTTACGAAAATACATTGCCAATTCATAAAGCTTTGATTCTACACTCCAGCTACAGAATGGTTTTACAGCTAAATATTTTCAAAATAGTCTTTTATTACGGAAGATACTTTTGATGACATTTTACCTGATTGTGCACTTTTAACCTTTATGATACTGCTTTGTAGAGATAAACTGGAATGATTCACATGACCATAGGTATGTGAAAACTGATCTAAAAAATAAAAAGTTCACTTTCATAAAGGTTGAATCACTGCAAAGTAGATGAACTGACTCCATAAGATTTGGTGACACTTATTAAAAATAATACCATAACTTAAAAGGAAAGTTAACAGCGTATTCCACAATAATTCTTTTTTCTTGAAATATCCAGTCTATCTAGGCAAAATAAAGCTACATTCTTCTTTACTGCTGCCAATAGGTCCTAAATCAAAACACAGGAAGCATAAATCTTGAAAATAAAATAAGGGGTGTTTTAAAGAACTGTAAGTAGTTTCCAAATTATGCAACAGATGTTGCCTGAGCAACAGATTCAGCTTGAGCAAGTGTTTCGTTCTTAACTGGTATATGCATTTGCATAGTCCACACTGTATGTTTTCATATGGAAACGCCTAAGTTACGGTGAAGGATTTTTGCCTTAAACTGAGATTCAAAGTTTTTGTTAGGCTTAAAGAATACAAAGTAGCCATTCAACAATACGGGATTTATCCTGGCAAAATAAAAGCATACATACTCCAGCTGCTTTACAAAGTAAAGTAAGTCAGAATTTAGCTGGACTAGCCAGTATGCTCCAATTTTTTTGTGATACTTTAAAGTTGGATAAAGCTTCTAGGACATCCTGGAGAATATCACATACCGTTGATACTTAAGATCATTTTAGGCAACCTATTAATACAATAAAGTTATTGAAATCTTCATATGTGATAACCTTTTACATTTCTTTCATATTGTTTGTATGGAACTTCTTTAATTAAAAAAAATCAAGAAAACTGTTCCAGATGCTATGAGGTAGTTATTGTTGGAAGCATGTAACTGTATTTCAGGTTAATCGGTGATTCATGGTAAAGGAATCACAGAGAGGTAACTACCGCATACATTAATGGGAATAATCTCAAAATGAATGTCAGAGTTGAAGGGTTTTAACTCTGTCCTGTAGTGACACCACAAGGAGAAAAATAAATAAATAAAAAGCTAACGCAGCTTTAAATATTAGTGTAATGCACTCTGGGATTTCAAACACTTAAAATATTAGAATGTCTAAAAATACTGAAATGCCATTATACAGTTAAAACAATCCATCACTACTGGGCGGAGTTAAGGTGACTGTCATTCCCATTACATTCACTTGGGCCAAATATCCCTCAGCTGTTCATACTCTTGACTAGGACAGCTCAGCCAGGAATATCAGGATGAGATATTCTCTCTTCTTAGGTTTGCTTCAAAAGTAGTAGCCCTGATAAAGTCATGCACTCTTCTTCCTCAGCCTTTCTCCGTCCTAAATCTCAGGAAGCATAGCTGACATAGTTGTCTCAGCATGACTTTCAAAAGTAACAGATCTTTTTACAGTAATTTAAAATATTGAACATTTAGTGAGCAACTGAAAAACCTGAAGTCTGCATCAGGTAACTAATTCCTTAAGTCAGCTGCAAATTATGGTCAGTGTACCTGCATACCCTGGTGAGTCTACTCTGCTTCAGAAAGACTGCAAAGCAGATAGATAGAACGTGAAAGTGAATGTGCCACAGAAAGTAGATTTGTAGGTAGGTAGGTAGAAAGCCAGCCAGCCAGCTGAAGTTAAGAGGGAAAGCCCCAAATGACCTGCTAGTCAGTAGATCAGCCAATTCAGGCACCAGCCGCAGCAGATGCAAACAGTCCACCTGAAACTTGGTCTGCATTTAGGCAGTTCTTATCCCTCTTTTTTTGACCACTTAAGAAGGCATAGGTGTCTCAGTTAGGTGTACTGACTCTGGGCAAAATCTCACAAGTGAGATAAAAATCCGAATTACCACAGATATGCTTTTAGTGACAGTGAAGAAAAAATACTGATAAGCATTTAAAAAAGAATTTAATCTATGACCATATACGCTATGATGCATTAATCATAATTCCACATTTATTGCATGGCATCACAACAGAGTTGAGATAAACAGAAAACTACTTTTTCTAATGTTCAGATGACAAAACAATGTTATCTATTTTTTTTTATGGGTGCTCTTCAAAAAATGCAAGAAAAGTTCTACTTTGCTGCAAACTTTCTAAAAAAACCTTATAAATATGCTGAATTTTATATAAATAGAGCAAAAAATTCTGAAGAGCATGAAAACTCATAAATGAAAGACACTTTTAAAGAAAATACTCTGGTTTTTATTTTTCACACACACAAACAAAACTTTTATCATAGCTTTATAATACAGTAACTAAAAGTTGTGACAACCAAAATTACCTCAACCAAATTATAGCAGCTCCATAGCTAATATGAGTAAGGTTAAAGGTAGATGCTTTAACTTCACAAGAATATAACTTAGTGAACAGTATTTATTAGAAATAGTAACTTATGTCATTTATAATCTGTCTAGAAACCATCAGTTAACCATTAGTTATTTCCTCCCTTAGCGTGCCTCCTTTGGCCTAAGTAAGGCATAGATCCTTAGACAGTTAAAGATTAGTTTCACTAACTGGTTTGTTAGTGTACATTCAATAGCCTAAATGGTGAAAAGGTGCAGTGATAGTAGAATATATTTTTACTACGCTAAGTAGTTAATCAGTTATTACAATATTCTTTAAGACTAGTATTCAATTCAATGTTGAAGGTAATTAAACCTCAAATACAGTACGTCGGCTAAAAACTCCATTAAACTTTTTCCTGGAAGACTACATAAGAAATTTTCAGGAAGCATGATATTTCTTCTTTGAAGTACAGATGCTTTTTCCTGTTTAATGTGATTCCTAACATCAATAACATCTTTGACCAAAATAAACTGTTAGAAAACACTAGCAAAAAACTTACCATTTTTGTGCGTTTTCCAAACTGCTCTCTTCTTTTTTATGTTCTTCTTTAGCTGCCAATGAAAAACATTCCGAAGATACGAATTACTGCCTTAATGTTTTAGAGATCTCGCAGATTACACATTTCTTGCATTCAAAATTTGTTCTGTACTAAACATAATCAAGTGATAAACATTTCATTATTTTCAATTATTGTTTAATTCTTGTGCATAGTACCTAAATGAATGTTTCTAATTCATTCATTAGAAGTGAATGAATGAAGTCATTCAATGCAGTGTATCAGATTTGAAAAGTTAAAACCATTACTACAGTGTAGAGTAGTGGACATTAATCAGAATAAAAAGCAAACAATCAAACTTAGATTTCCAGATTAAAAACACAACACTAACTTGTGTATGTTTGTTTATTGTTGCAGACCAAAACTCACAAATTTAAACCTGTTTTTGCAATGCAAATAATTGGAAGTTGCTGAACAGGTATCAAACATAGTTAACACCAACTGTTCCATATAGCTATCACATTTTGTTCAGGAAGTTGGAAAGTGAAAACACATGTACCAAGTTTTAAATGTATGGTATGTACATGATTTTTTGAAAAAGCAGCCAAGTGTTTGAAATATGGTTAGTGAATCTGAGCACCTCTGTTATTGAATACTCACATTAACTATTTAAAAGGATTTGATTTTCAAAAGATGGGTATTCTGCACTTCGGAAAGCGTTCCCTGAGCTGGGAAAGCACTGTAGCTTTCAAAAACATTAGTTACTTCTCAAAACGTTGACCAATTCTTCTTAATTCCATCTAGTCACCTTAGTTGCAGCAGAATACCACATACGTAAAAAAATACTAAAGTGGAAAAGTTATTCCTATTCCACAATGGAACAATTTTGTAAGTGCAAATATTAATATAGACAGAATCCAGATTCTGTGATGATCCAGAGATAAAGAGCTGTATCTTTATGCTGCTCAGTCTACAGGAGTACATACCCTGGTTGAAATACAGTTATAGTTATAAACTTGAGTTCACAGACAAGGCCACTGAGAAATCGGTACCTACACAGAGATTTGTATTAAAGTAGTTAAAATCACTTAAAAACTGGCTTACTTCAGAACACTGCTAACAAAACATAAATTACTTTCAACTCATACTTTTACTTATATTGGGCAAACGCACTGGAGGCACTTACTCAGATTATTTCAGTATGGAAAAGCAAGGAACAATGTTGTGAGCCCTGGGCAAGGAAAACACTGAATTCTACACCACCGAATTCTCAGCATCAAATCTTAGTGGCAAGACAACTACAACTGAAGTAGGGCAGCTTTGATTTATTGTTTTTGTTTCAGGCTCCTGAGAAATTCAGCTGGCTAAAGTCAATCTGCTATACTTAATTCACACTATGGTAACGATTTCCACAGCTCTTACATTTGTATACATTTGTATAAATGATATACATTTGTATATCATTAGAAGCTGAACTAGATATAAAATTTTACAGTTTATGATTACATTAATAATTGCTTTCTAGTTTTTAAGGAGACAAAAAAACGTTAAGTACACCAAATTTCCCAACACAGCTACATTCACAGCTACAACAGAAATAGTAGTCTGTGATATAACTGCACCTACAGAAGAACATAGTAACTAACATGGACAACACAGTTACAGCTTTATAGTTAGGTGATAAGACCCGACTTACTGTTTTTTAATCTTGTAAGAACAGAATAAGGGAAGGCAGAGGAAAAGAATTTTAATCTGTTCTAGAAAGTGGAAACAATGTATGACTGTTAGGAAGGAACATGCAAAGTTTACATTAAGAGAACTCCGTGTGTGTTTGTGTGTGTGTGTGTGTGTGTGTCTGAACATAAGGGAAAAGAAGTAAGAAAATAACTACTATATAACAGCCAGGATTTTCCATATTTTTAAACATCTCTACCCAAGCACTATTTAAAAGCGTTTCCATGAAATTAAAATGTTGAGACTTGTTAAGAGAACAAAAGAACTCCATGCAACAAATTCTAGGTAAATAGGAGTTACAAACACTACACAACAAGTATAACAAGAAACCAGAGCAATTTGCTAATTTTCTTTATAATTTCTAAGTAATCTTCCACTGAGCATTTATAATACTTCACTTATCTGTAACATCCTGCTCTTCCTTCCTCCCTCCACCCCCTGCAACATTTATCACTATCAATACTATCAGTAAAGGTTTCCCTGAAACAGCTTTTACTCCATAGTATTTTTTACTGTAACGTATTTATACTGCTTCTTTAAATGTTCTGTGATGTTAAAGATTTTTTTTCTAGAAATGGTTGGAAAGAGTGGCACTTTCTCAGTTTTCAACTAAAACTGTCACTTAGAATATAAAAGAGAGAAAGATTATATTTTCCTCAACAGATTCCTCAAAGAAGCCTCACAGTCAAGATATAAAACTATTGAGGGCAATTAAAATGAATTGCATAAATCAACCTCTTTCTTTTTATTTCTCTGGCAACACCTCATTTGCTCTCCTAAGATTTCTTTTCGTTAAAGTGGGATCATTTGATTCTTTCCTCCTTAAACCACACGCTTGATTGCAGTTTCCTCAGTTTACTTAAGAATGTAATAACAGCCATGTACAAGGATCCATCTAGCCCAATATCTTGCCTGTGACAGAGGCTAAAGCATCAACTGCTCAGGAAGAATAAACGAACAGGGCAGGCATACTATCCTTTCTCTCAGTGTTCTCTCTGTCTCCATGGTTTTGCAGTTCAGAGGCTTCCTGCACTGGACACCAGATGTCATTTCTATGTAATTCTCAATAGATTCTCTTCCATGAACTTGTCCAATCTCTGCTTAAATTTTTATAAACCTTTTAGCTTTCATAAATTGCCCTGGGAAGCGTTCTAGGGCTTAACTACATGTAACATGAAGAACAATCTCATTTTGTTTGTTTTGAAATAACCTCCTGATACTTGCATTCACTATTTTTTTTATTGACTGCAGTGAATAATGAAATACAGTGACTATTGACATTAGCTTTTTGATTTGTTGCAGGAGTAGCATGGTTTTGAAGTGAATTCCCTCACCACCTCCACTTATTGATCATTGGCTTAGTTTGCTTTGCAAAGAAGTTTTGGTGCTTGCAAACTAAGAGGAAACTAAACAGGAAGCTCCACACCAAATCCTCTCCAATCCTTAATAGGACAGCTTTGAACCACACATGAGGTGGAGACATTCACTTCAGAAGATGAGACTAACGTTAAGTCTAACCTGAAGTAAAATCTCTAAACCACATACACTAAATATAGCAGCGTCAGCCTCTGCCGCTTCAACCTCCTGATCCACTCCTACTGCACCAAATTATTCTATAACGTAGGCATAGATGGTCTACATTACATGCATATGTATTATGTAGAGGTTCTTCAAAATAACTTCCCATATGCTGCATTTCGTAAGGAGACATCCTTCTATCTCTGAGCCATTAGGCTTGACTACTGTTGAAAATGACAGGGAATGATCAAATGCAAAATTTACTGTCTGGTTTCACGTCCAAATGCAGTTTCTTAATATGCTCTACTGTTCGGATTTGATTAAGGCCATATCCTGAAAAGAGTCTCAGATCCAGTAGTATGACAGGCAGGCAATCTCAACCAATATATCTTCTTTGAATATAGGAATGAAAGCCAGGCTCAGTCAAGAATTTCTGTGCCTTAATAGAGACAAAAGTTTTGAAAGGAAAGCTGGTATCTACAAAATATGAAGTTCCAATCTGCTGTAAGAATTGTCTTTTATAATATGAACAGTTATAGATAGATAGACTCTGAAGGCCAGTCACTGGGAAATATTACACATCCTGGTGCCCGAATCTAGCACCATCTAGCACTATCAAAGATAAAAGAGTAAATGGAGTATTATGTTATGAATTTACTTTACGAATTTGAGATAGCTCTGGTGCTATCCTTTTACTAAAACGTGGAGGTAAGCATTTGAAGAGCCATGATCCTGAAACAGTTCTAAGAGTGAAAAAGTACTAGAGTGAAATGGTAAAAATCCTTATTACTTTACAAAGCATATTTTACTGGCAAAGGATGAAACAATGCAAACCACTATTCTGAGAAAATATCAGAAAATACATATATTTGTAATGGGTCTTACGTATGCATAGCAGCTCCCAGTTACAACAGAATCAAGACTTCTTCATACAGCAGGCTACTATGAAATGGTTTTCCAAAGAATGAAGGAAAGAAAAGGTACAAGGTAAATCTTGGTACAGACTGAACGTTGGAGAACAGAGGCAAGCAGAACGATGAGATAACTTGCTCTAAGAGGACACAGAAAGAAAAATGGGGACATGCAACTACTCAAAAAGCTTACATTACATCTACCTCACAAATCAAAAAATTTAAAACTAATGTCATTTCTCTTTGACATTAAACCTATGAATGCATTTAAGAAGGATGGTTCACACAAGTCTAATGATCTGGTTGTGTCCATTACAGCTTCCATGTTTTTCAGATTCTCATTATTTTCAATACTGAAAGATCTGATATTAAAACTTTGCTTTATAAACATTCTGGAAGAATGAGCATCTTCACATTCATGAGAACTAACTGTCAGGGTGGAGAAATTAGAACTATTAGTTTCACATTTCAAGGTTGAGTCCAAGTGGTTCAAAAAAAGCATGCTTCATGAACACTTAGGGACTGGAAAATTACAGGTTTTTCTGAGGGGGGAAAAACCCAAAACCAAGGTATTTGAATTTTTGCCCCAAGGAAGGAGATAGGTCTTTTCTGACTGACACGTTCCAATCAACCGCTGTTAAGACAGAATCTCAGATAAGACATTGACAAAAAGCAAAAAATATGCAAAAATGAAAACAACAAAAAAACCCTACTGAAATTCCTCTCTAAACTTTAGAGTCTGGACAGAGGCTTTTAAAATAATGAGAAGAGGCTATTATGACAGTTCGTAGGCTCACAAGGACACACCTTCCCTACTAGTCACGACTAAAACCTCTTAAGCAGACATGCCAAAACAGTGTCAGAAGAAGCAGCCTACCTATGATCTGGGAAG